TACACGACATCATGGCATCGCTCAAGGGCACGACCATCTTTTCTAAAATCGATCTGGTACGAGCATATCACCAGATCCCAGTCGCTCTTGAAGACATCGAAAAATCTGCTATCATGACTCCTTTCGGTCTGTTTGAGTTCCTACGAATGCCATTTGGATTACGGAATGGTGCTCAAACTTTCCAAAGGTTTATCGATAGCATATTACGAGACTTGGATTTTGTTCACGTCTATATTGATGACCTGCTGATCGCATCATCAAATGTAGATGAACATTATCAACACCTTACGCTATTATTCCAACGTCTTTCGGATAATGGAATAGTAGTCAACCCAGACAAATGTGGATTGGGTAAGTCAGAAATAATATTTCTGGGTCACATCATCAGACAAGAGGGTTTTTGCCTTGCGAGGACAAAATTCGAGCAATCAAGGAGTACAACGTGCCGTCCTCAATCAAGGAACTGAAGGCTTTTCTCGGTTTGGTTAACTTCTACCGACGTTTCATCCCTCACGCGGCAGAACGGTTACGACCATTAACCGATTTACTACGCGGTAATCCACGCAAATTAGAATTGAACTATACCGCACGTACTGCATTCTCAGAGATCAAAACGGCTCTCGCTCAAGTTACACTTCTCGCTCATCCTGACCCATCAGCCACGCTTAGTATAGCGGTTGATGCATCAGATTTCGCTATAGGAGCCGTCATGCAACAGAATATCTCCGGTAGTTGGCAACCTCTTGAATTTTTCTCACGACGCCTTACTCCCACGGAGACGAGATATAGCGCTTTTGGTCGCGAGCTGCTTGCAGCCTACTGCGCCATCAAACATTTCCGGCACGCAATAGAAGGACGCCAATTCATTTTATTCACCGACCATAAGCCCTTAACGTATGCCCTGCATACCAAGTCTGACCGCTACTCACCACGAGAGTGCAGACATTTGGACTATATTTCCCAGTTCACGACAGACCTTCGTCACTTTGAAGGCGAGTCGAACTATGTTGCCGATGCTCTATCACGTATCCAGACGAATGCAGTTACCTTACCGGTGCTCGATCTTCCTGCTATGGCCGCCGCGCAAGTAAACGATCCTGTCTGTACAGAAGCACCACAATCTTCGTCCCTTCAGTGTCAGGAAGTACCCCTAGCTACTAGCTCAGGTACTATCCTATTTGATACTTCTACCGGTCTTCCTCGACCCATCGTACCCTCTACCTATCGCCGTCTCGTCTTCGATGCCCTTCATGGATTGCCTCATCCAGGTATCGCAGTCACATAACGTCTGATCGCTGCACGATACGTCTGGCCGTCCATGAGTAAATATGTCCGTATGTGGGTATAGCAATGCTTACAGTGTCAACGATCAAAAGTGCACAGGCACGTAGCTGCCCCCATTGGCACGTTCACTACGCCTGATGCTCGCTTTGATCACGTACATATAGACATTGTAGGACCATTGCCACCATCGCATGGGTATGATCACATACTCACGTTCACTGACCGTTTTACAAGATGGCCCGAAGCTATTCCCATCACGTCTATCACGGCGGAGACAGTTGCTCACCGCTTCGTAGAACGATGGATAGCATTGTACGGTTGTCCCTCGACTGTCACGACTGACCGAGGACAACAATTTGAGTCCGCATTATTCTCCTCACTGACCCGGCTGCTTGGTACGGAGCGCATACGCACCACCGCCTACCATCCAGCATCGTATGGTTTAGTCGAAAGGTTTCATCGCCAACATAAAAGTGCTCTCCGAGCACACGAAAACGACAATTGGTACGAAACCTTACCGCTCGTTCTCTTAGGTATCAGAACGAGTTTGAAGGCAGATATCCAATGTTCCGCCACTGAACTTGTATAAGGCACGACATTGCGTCTGCCTGGGGAATTCTTCACACCACGAAGCAGTAATGATTTCAGTAAATCAGACTACGTCCATAGACTGTCTGCATTTATGCTAACGCTGTCTCCGGTGTCAACTCGAATACAACATCGACAGGTCGCTCTCCCTCGAGAGTTATCTACCTGTTCACATGTTTTCATACGAGTAGATTCGGTACACAAACCTTTGCAACAGCCTTAAGAAGGCCCTTTTCACGCGATCTCTCGTCACGAAAAGGCCTTCAAGGTTGATCGACACGGCCGAGTCGAGATCGTCAGCATTGATCGTCTCAAACCAGCACACGTCGATGACAGTGCCCTACTCGATAACTTGAGACTCAATGCTAGACCTATCAAACCTTCTAGCGGGATCTCTACGTCTACCTCGGATCCCACGCTAGATACATCAGAGACCTCGTTCTCACGTCCCGGTCAACAGCACGCGTCATCTGTACCATCTACGGATGAGACTTCCGTCTCACGTCCAGATCGGCAGACCACGCCGACCTTGACCTCGGATGAGATCGCAGGCTCACGAAGTACGAACGAGACTACCGTCTCACGTTCCGGTCGCCGAGTACGATTACCCGTACCCTTTCGCGACTAAATGCACAGTCAATAACGGATACGGTGTAGGATTATTCCTATACTACACGCATGCTACACTTTTCTTTTTTTTGATTTTTTATTGTATCCTCAGCCCACGCCTCCGACCATCGCCCGTTCGGTAACGTCGACTTCAGTCAACTTTGGCAAAAGCCGGTTTGCCACCCACGCTCTAGTCAACGCACTCAGTCGATTATCTGGTCTCGAATTCGCCTGGCATACGCTTGGTCATTATGGTCGCTTCCGGTTTCTTGGCTCAACTTGGTTTCGTCCTACGTCTGCAGCGTTTTCTGGTTCGCATCCCTACGAACGCAATCATCAGATCCTGGATACAAACCACTCTGGTGTGGCATGCTAATTCGACCGACAAATACAGCACACTTCTCCTGGTACCGTTCTGCGCAAAAGACTTTCGTTGGCAACTCGAGGATCAACGATCACTTCCTGTTCCGCCAATTTCCTCCGTCCTACAACCGCACTTCTGCCGATCAGTCCCACGAATCAAACCGCTAACTATCGAAAGTGTAAACCCTTTTTAGCGAGGGGCTCCTGTAGTGACCTACTTTTGTCAACAGAACGCGACTGGTTCAATGAAAACAATTATTATTATAACCGATTGTACCAGTGACTGTTTTACTGTGCTCGTTTGTTTAACTGTGCTAATGACAGCCATTGTACTCACTTACTCTTCCGTTGACTTTCAACTTGTACGAATCCGGTTACGCTCAGTAACCACACTTGTACTCCTTTGGCACGATCTCGGTATTCTTTCGATACCACGAGATCGCCAACAAATACATCTCGACTACAGCCATCATCTGCCTTCTGATTTTTGGCCTACCGGAATCTTATTGGTCTATTGGCACGTAGTCTGGTAGCGGTGTTCATAGTCAAGCTCAACTCAACACCACGCTACATACTAAAGAAACCTTAGATTTCTTCTAAAATATGCAGTTTCAATTCATTTAGACAAGTGAACAACTCGATTTTGGGTAATAATGCTTGTATTCTATGTGGTAAATCGCATTTACATGAAGTTCTCAGAAGTTCAGGTCATTTGCTAACAAAACACTGAATGGTTGTTGATCAAAATGAGCTGTTTCGAACAAAAGAATTGACTGGTTGGTGCTCACTACTTTTCACATCAATACTTTAATTTTGTATATTACTGCGTATATTACCACCACAAACTCGCATGATTTATCCAAGCTTTTTGACAGATCCTTATAACTCAGCATGTGAACAATGACCCAACTTACCTTCACAATAACCCAATCCATGCATGGGAAATTATGCCCATCAGTAAACATAAGTCTGATATCCATATCCCTATAATTCTACGCACACGCGCATTGTGTTTATGTCTGTCACGGATTATCTTATGCGATTTCGGTCTTTATGTCACAATACAGATCCTCTATTTCAGCTATATTAACAGTTATCATAATTTGTAAAAAGTATTTGGGATGTTCGCCTTCTCCGCTTTTCTTCACTTTCTCGCTTTTTACTTTAGTGCCTGTCTGAGCAAACGAATCCCTGAAATAAATTCATCCTACTTCATCCGTATTTAGCTACTTATTACTGCGGTAATATGAACGAGGTTAACCTACGTGTAATATAAGATGAGCGACACAATTATCTCCAAAGAATACTTGTTCTTAAGTCAAAATAAGATTCAGACCTCAGGCCACTGGGTACTTTATGTAAAATTTAACTACTTATACAAGCAAGCCCCTGTAGTGACCTACTTTTGTCAACAGAACGCGATTGGTTCAATAAAAACAATTATTATTATAACCAATTGTACCAGTGACTGTTTTACTGTGCTCGTTTGTTTAACTGTGCTAATAAAAGCCATTTTGGTCTTCCATTGTATTCCATTGCTTCTACGCGGTTTTCGACTACGCACGTATCTTTTCTTGCCGATCGCACCTGTACTCCTTTGGCACGATCTCGGTATTCTTTCGATACCACGAGATTGCCAACAAATATATTACAACTACTATTATCATCTGCCTTCTGATTTTTGGCCTACCGGAATCTTATTGGTCTATTGGCTCGTAGTCTTGTAGCGGTGTTCATAGTCAAGCTCAACTCGACACCACGCTACACCCCATTCATTTATTGTTGTTGGTTTTTGTATACCAGATACGACTGCCACTGAGAAACTATCACAAAACCAAATTGTAGAGGACTAAAAATTCTATCACACACAAGAATAACATGAAGTATAACAGAACAGACACGCGCATACAAACTAACAAATGTATAAAATTACAAGTAACAGAAGGCTACAGTTAATTAAAAGTACCAAACCTCTAGCAAAACAAAAAGTTCCCACGATTAACTTGTTGCTCATCACCTCTCTATCTTAACAAGAGCGAATTCACTTCGACGTATATTGTTTCCTAACATCAAAATACAAGCGCAAGGGACTCAGCCACATCATGCTTTGTTGACGTAAGGTATTGTTTATTGAAGAATCCCTATCAGCGGTATATCCGCAAATGTAATCCCGCCGACTTCAAAAGTCTGTCATTTGGTTGATTTTCAGTCTTACATATCCTACACTATGTTTAGCTAATATCTCATTTTCTATGGCTGAACAACCAAATATATTAACAGACTCTTCTGTTGTTCCCTGTAAAAAGCGTAAGCAGGTATGGTTAGCATCCATTGATTCAAGTGTTGTATTAAGACTGGAAAACCACAAAATCATGTTAAAAAAACGGAGCAGTTACTAAAAAAGTTAGAGAACCCAAAAAATGCTTATCGCGTAAGTCTGTGTTATTGTTGTGTTAATTTTTAGTTTTATGTACTGGTAATTATTTTGCAAACAACTTTGTACCCATTGCAAATAATTTCGGTATTGCTCTTCAGATAGTCAGAATCCACTCTAAAATTCTTAATAAGCATCATATTGTTCTTGATTCTTCACACTGTTCGTCCGTTTCAGTATGGTCAACATCATATTCCTTTGCGAAGAATTAATTCTTAACCAATGATACAGATCTGTTAGAATGTGCTACATCAAGCCAATGGTGAACGCCCAGACAGCCCTAAAGTCATTAAACATATAATCAAAATAGAGTTTAAAGTGAGTGCAAAGAGTTTGAGCCATGGTTTCCATCACGAACTTACATCAGATAAAATACAAGAATCTTAAGTTACATGTTCTTAAGTTTTTTTTTCATGATCAATCACACACTTACCTTCCATATCTCTTGCTTGCCTAAATAAGCTAAAACCTCAATGCTGTTTGACAACATTTTACAGGTCTACTAACAAGCTCGTCTCATGAATTTTTATCGGCCTAGAGTTTCCTACAGGTATTATTCTTAAGTCGTGGCTCATAAAAGTTCCGTTCATTTTTTTGAAAGACTTTATGGTAGTTATTTCGCTTTCGTCATTTTATCATCCCTCGAATGTTTTAACAAGTAAAATCATCCCGAAAATCCGGATTCCTATCGCTTGTAAGCGTTTCCTACACTTATGTGAAATGGCAACCAAGTAACTGGTTGTCTTCGGTCATCGGATTGTGTTGAAAGGAGTGGATCAATGTTTCTTTGACTGGAGGTAGTAAAATAAGAGGTTATTTACCCTAACTAGTACTAGCGTTTGTGTTTCGAACCACTTGGTACGTCTCATAGTTTGTTTCCATTTTTATTTATTTATATGCACATATGTATCAGGTTATATTATGTATATAGCTTACTGGATGTGTCCATAATATAATAGCTTGTGGTATATCTCAAAAATTAGCCGCGATAAATGATAACTCCATTAAATGGTGAACGAATTTTAGTTCTAATGCTTATTTACTAGATAACTTATGAGTGTGTTTATTTTTTATTTCAATCTAACAAGCATGTCATTTGTTGGAATAATATCTTCTTCTACTAAGCACCTATTCTTGTTCCTGATACCTGTTCGATTGAGAAATTAAGTGAACAATTTGTTGTTATTTCTATTTAATTTGTATTTATGTAATCTTTCAAATTTCCTAGTTGATTACTTGTGAATTCGATGAAAGTATCTTACAAATGTCTGGCTTATTGGCATCTTTGACATCGAAATTAGAAGCTAATTGGCAGTCGTCAACAATACAGTATTTAACTGATTCAAATGATCCTTTGGAGAAAATTGTTTCACAACAATTGCCACCTTTAATTCAACCTAAAACTGTTGGATTAAATGGTCTCAATGGTTCTGTTCCTATCTCATTTTCTTTCACTTGGACACGTTATCAACCAACAATAGACTTGTCGACTAACGAAAAGGAATCAGAATCAACAGGTCTGACCATATTTATCTTAACGTTTCGAGTGTTGTACACTTTATATATATTATGATAGTTTATTCAGGAAGTAAACAAGCTTATACCTCCTCTCCACACACATCTCGATTGCCTTTCAATTGTAATGTGGTAGTTTTTCAGCTTTACGCTGATTATAACTTGGGTTTGTGATGAGTTTAGTAGCTGTTTCTCAAGTAACTACATATTTTCGAAACTGGTAATGGAGCAGTGGCTTAATTATTAGCTATTGCGTCATGGGTTTGAATTCGGATCTACTAAACGAAGCATAAACAGCCATATGTTACTGTCAAACTGAATGAAGTACCCCTGTTATTGCAAAGTCACATTTTTGTAGTGTATTTACGAAGTAATCAGTAAGTGTTCGTAAGTATACTCTTGACCACATATATTGACTGAATTCTTTAGACTATTCTCGATATATCCTAGTGATTTCCTAGAAAATGACTGTAAAGACGGTTGCTTAGGTCTACTCCATGTTCTGTGTGATCACTATCTCATGTTCCGACTTACACTCGATGATAACTTCAACAGTAACAAATTACTTTTTGATCAGAGAAAGATATTTAGTTCTCCTATCCGTAACAAAGTTATAACGAAAAGCCGTAACTTCTTTAACTGAAAGGATTCTTTCTGTCTCCCTCATTATTATTATTATTTCACTACCATACACTAATTTGTGGTCATTATCGTTCTTTTTTCTTTTTACATGCACCTTACATTCCTTATCTCCCCATTCTCATTATTATTGTGTGGCACATATGTATCTGGTACCCCCTTGTACCTATATTTATGTTTGAATAAATAAATAGACAAAGTTATAGTCCATAGTATGATTTTCCGTTTTAGGATATAAAAATATTAATATTCGACGGTTCAATAGAAAGTGAATTGTAGTACGTAATTACGCTTGTTACCCTTCATGTAACATACGCCACCGACTAGGATTCTCAAACCAACTCTGTTCTCAACTCCCCTTTCCAGTTGTTTTGAATGTCTGTCTCCGATTCCCTGCTCTTGTGTTCTCTGGTTTTTGTCTTTTCCTTTTGCCTCCACGACTTCTAGTTAGGGCTCACCTTGTGCAAAGGCCATAAGTAGACACGATTTTATTTATTTATTTGAACACGTAAATATTGGTACAAAGGGGTATCAAGTACATATGCACCATACAAGTCACTTGATTTGTGTGTGCGCTGTGATACTGCTCGGGTTCCTAGACTGAAGCAAGTGGTTTTTTTATTGAACCACTACTTTAGCCTTTAACCTACAGGTCTAATCTACAAGACAGTGGGGTAAAGTCAGGAGATGCAGTCCCATGGTAGACGGTGACCAACAATTGGTTCATACACCATTTGTTCCTTCAGGATCCTGGAGCCCATGTGCACCATTTGTTCGTAATGATGGTTTTCCAACTCCTCTAGGTAGATATTCCATATTCACCAACGCGGTTAAAGCTCCGAACATTCGTTTTCGATCCTCTCAGTTTTGTAAACAACACCCACACCATGATAGGGAGATGAGTAGAACTTTCCTGATAGTGGCTGCATACACGTGGCCATGTGAGAGCATTTGGAGAGGGAGAGCGGACTCTCCCCACCTTCGGTCGTGCCAGGGTATTTGGGACCAAGTAGATACAAAACCAGCGACTACACTCTAGAACCTGAAGAGATGAATGGAAATTAAATGTATTTATCATCAATAACTTATGGTTTATTATAAATTTGTATTGATCCTCCCAAATAGAGCAAGAAGAACCTTGCGTTTTGAAAGTAAAAGAAATGAGAATAGTATCACTGATATGATCATGCCTCCTTGTAACAATGTTCATGTGTATCATAAATAAATAGATAAAATTTCCAACTCTCCCAGGTGGATCCTCCGTACTCACTAACCCTGTCGCTTGCATAAACAACTCTTCTGCCATAAGAAGGAAGTTATTAGGGCTTACTTGACAGTGGCTATATACACGTGGCCATATGAGGAGGAATTTTGAGAGGATGGGTTGGTTTTCCCCACTCTCGGGCATACCAGGACATTTAGGAGCTTCCGGTTAGTAACATAGTTTGATCCGAGACCGAGTATATAAACATGTACTTAATAAATGAGCTACGTCATTATTGTGACGTGTAACTTACTGCAGTCATATTTGATTGCATGCTTATTATTTTCTTGAAATACTGTGACTAGTTTGAGCAAGTGTAACTTAGCAGTCAGTAATGGCATCATGGACGCTTGATTTTGAGTCACCCTTTTTGTATGAAAGCTAGTGATTTTTTAATTTAAATTAAGTCATTCTACAGGTACTTGGATATGAGCTACACTCTAATAATACTACTACTCAGTTTCGTAAATCAAAGTACATGGCTTCAGCCTCGGACATAAGTTTAGTGGATGAAAGTCGAACATCTTAGTCATTAGACCACCACTCGTGAGAAATTGTATAAGGTCACGTAGACTACATTATATCGTGAAGTGCAGAGTTAAAGCCTAAAACCTAATAGGGTTCATAATCATACCTCAATAACTAGTCTTATATTCTTATTGTTTACAATAAAACCAACCTCTATTATTCTTTTTAATTTTTTGTCTATCTTAATTTATTCTCATCATTCTATCTGTATTGCAGATGATGAAATGTTAAACATTAAACTTAATCCATTTATCGAACCTGAAGTTGTCATTCTGTTAACTGCTGATCAAATTAAAAATTTACTCATCAAATCGTCTAATGATACTAAACAGAAATTACACGAGGTATGTTTCGTATAAAATGTTAACCTAAATTTCTTTCATAATTTTTAAATTACGGTGACTAAGTAGATGTAGCAGCGTAAAAAAATGGCACAGTACTATTGGGTTAAGTTAGATTTCCTTCATAACTATAAAAACGACAAGTATATCAACACAAGTAAGACAAAAAAGATGAAATTAATAATCATTGATGTACTACATGGTTATCCTGCATCATTTCTTTAACCAGTTAAACGTCGTGTCAAATATTCAACTTTGACCGAAATTTACACTATTATCAATCTTTCCTACTTCTTGATGATTGGCTTCATCTTCTGTATGAAGTATAAAAGATCGGTTTATTGTTACTAATCGGTTATCCGTTTTTACTTTGAGAATAAATGAAAGGATCCAGTGGCTTGTAACACTTCGGTTTGTATTGATTTTAAATAACCAACTTACACACGTTTTATCTAAGTTAGACAACTAGTGAAAACCTGAAAGCATTGGACTTCCGTTTTGTTCTAATATGTGACTTCTCAACAGTGTACTTTCACGACCCCGCACTCGGTAATCGAACTCAGGACCTTCAGTCTCGCACACGTAAACTTATCCTCTAGACCACTTAGTCGGTGTTCAGTAGTGTACAAGTCTAACTCCAATCAATTCAAGATAATCTGCGAACATTTTCCATTGTCTTTGGTGGATAGTTTCCTCACGGACTTCCACTCCAGTATTTCCACATTTTCACTGGTTGGTTCAGGATTTCAATTTAACTCAGCAATCTCCACAACAACAACCTCTCTGATATTGACAATGATATATATATTTATTCACTTAAACAGTTGTAAAGCATTTTTCACCATGTCTAGGTATATGTATTAGAATTTGTCACTTTACCTTGAATCTCAGTAATATACTTTTAGTTTGTGGTGAGACGAAAATGTTTTTGTTGTTATGATATCCTGTTCTTCGTGTACCGACTTTTAATCAAACAGATAATTACTGTCATAAGCAGCTAAGACCCTGTATGCTAATAATAATCATGTAATAACTAGTGATCAATTTCTAAAGATAATTCCCGGAGTTCCAATGAAAAGCTATGGCTAGAGGATTTCAACCATGTCGGATGTAAAGCATTTACTTACCGATGGCATTGGGAGATGGTTGTGCAATATCGTGAATTGATTGCATTTTGGTATGTAAACCACCAGATACTAACTCAGTGGTCTGAGGGTTAATTGCTTGCTGTGAGGCATTAGGGTCTTTGGTTCAATTCCTTATGAGGTAATTACTATTAAGGAGTCCTATACTAGGACGATAAAAGATGTTCACTGTTTCTTAATTGTCATCGGTTGTTTAACTAAGATCAGTCCGTGATATCAACTATAAAACTCAGTAATCTACACAATCCCCCTGTACCACTAGTTAGGAATAATTTTCTAATAGAAAAATCTACTCTTAACCATTTAGGCTCACTATCTTCATTCACATTTCTTGGAAATTCACATATATGTAGATGGTCGTCGATTTAATATTATTGACATTTATGTTTTCTGCAATTATCATCGGTGTCATTCTTTTTCTCCTATTTCCATAGAATGCAAATCTTATTGCGTTTGGTACTAGTTTAATGAATTTGAAACGACCAGTTACCTGTATTTTCTTGACAGGGCCTACTTTTAAATCGAAGTAAGTTATATTTTTAATTTTGCAATCCTATTAATTTTAAGTGATTATAGTTATGTAATGTCTAAAGTATGACGTTTTATTTATTTATTTGAACACATAAATATTAGTACAAGGGGACACCAAATAAATATGCGCCACACAACAACAATGAGGCCTAGAATACTGCCCGTATACCCAAGTCAGGTGTTCTTCTTAGTGGACCACTCCTCGAACATTTGACCTACAGGTTTAATCCACAAGACAGTGGAGCAACGTCAGGGAATCCAATCCCCTGGTAAACGATGACCAAGAACAGGTTCATACAGCACTTGTTCCCTCATGATCCTAGAGCCCATGTACACCATTGGTTTGGAATCAGAGTTTTTTAACTCTCCTAGGTACATCCTCCGTACACACCAACCCTGTTGAATCGCGTGACATCCTCTTTCAGTCCTTTCGCCTGCATAAACAACTCTTCTATCGTGAGACGGTAGTGATTAGGGTTTGCTTGATAATAGCTATATACAGGTGGTCATATGAGGAGGGTGGGCGGATTGTCCCTACCTTCGGCCATACTAGGGCATTTGATTAAAGTAAGCCATAATTAAATCATTCATAAACAATGAAGATCCCATAATCAAACCATCTAGCTCAGAAAACTCAAAAACATAAGTATCCAAATAAGCTGTTAACCTTCATCTTTTCAAGGAAATTGTACGATAATAAACTAGTTACTCGTAAGTAGTGTCATTGTAATACACAAATCTCATCCATCATTAAGTGCTAACCAAATCTGAGTGAGAGAGAGCTTAACAACTGGAAGCATTTGTTCATCTACTGACCACTTTTTACTGTCACGCCATTGTATACTGCAAAAATAATACTGATATACTTTTGTTTGCCCTTTAATGTTTTCACACTCAGAACTAACCATTTGTCATCATCAAAGAATATTTCTTCATCATATATGTCAATTAATGAATTATGCGCTGAACTACAATTAAATTGGCATGTACACAGTACTCGTGTCACATCGAATTTACATGATGTTGCCATGATTTTAAATGCGATTACACGATCGTTGGCGGAAAGACAATTTAAGTAAGATTCTTCTTTATATAGTGAATTCCTCTTGTTGTTTTTTTTTACATAACCTGAACTGGTTATTCTTGTTTGTAGATGAATAAATCCCTTGTCTCTTGTCACATTATTTTCTACTTAATCTATCAATCAGCTAAAACGTAAGACCAGGCACATATATGCATCGGTCTAAGTTGTCATACCTCATTAACACAACAAGATTCATAGAAGTAGTTAATTCAATGGTTTACTTTACTTTTACTTACGCCTGTTACTCCTCGTGAAGGAGCATAGGCCGCTCACCAGCATTCTCCATCCAACCCTGTCCTGGGCAATCCTTTCAAGCTCTTTCCAGTTCTTATTCATCCTTTTCATATCTGCTTCTGTTTCCCGACGTAATGTGTAATATATAAAAGAAAGATTGCATATAAGGATATAGTACATGAATAAAGAATTAGTTCGTAGAAAGAAAGATATGAAGCGATGTCAATCTTCCAACGCACTCAAGACCACTGATAGTCAGTCACTTAATGAGTATAATGTTTACATCATCATCAGTAGTAGTAGTAGTAGTAGTATGTGGTTTGAGTTATCCCAATTATTAATATTTACGACTTCATTTTAAACAGTTTTTGTTAGCATATTTGCATCTTGCATAAATTAATCAAAATGGTTCTATTGAGGTCGATTCGCACAAGATGCATATTTGTATGCCGCCAAGAACTAATCAACATTTTGTTGAGGATGCTAGATCCCCAGAAATTACTTAGTAATTTTATTTTGAAAATTTGAATTTCTCGTTTTTCCGCTAAAAGCGCCCACTTTTACCTTCAGATTGTATTTCTCACTTAGAAGGACCTGAAATGTCTTTGATTTGTTTCCTCTTTTAATACGCTATTTTGTGGCGTTTTCCAAGGACATTTTTATACGTTATATATACCATTGATTTGTGTGCTTGTTCGTTCGTCCTTCTGACTGCTTGTGAAACATGCCCCCCCCCCGACTGATTCTGGTCTTCTCCCTCTCGTTAGCAGGGATGGGGGCGCATTGAAATATTTTAGCTTGTCCTGTCGTTGTGTTGTTGATCCTTCGTTCCGTTCACCTATTTTAGATGATATTGTAATCTCTTCAAATGTAGTACATTTAACCTTTGAATATCAAAAATAAAATAATTTAAATCCTCACAAATCATAAAAATAATGTGCATTTTTAATGTATAGACAGTGCCTAGTCTTACATTTTAACTGACTGACTGTTAAATAATAGGTCAACAGAGTACTGGACATTGCTTCTTCTTATTTTTACATATGTATGAAGTTGAAAAGCATGAAATATTGATTTTTCTAACTGAAAAGTAACACTTGAAGGTAAAAAACTTCGGGAGTTGTAAATTTAAGTGATGATGTTAGTTCTTGATTGAAGAAAGCTAATAGAAATAGATGAATAAACGCCATGATTTTCTACCATCTTTGTTTTCTGTTATATAGGCAAGGACGTTTAGAGCGAGATGAAGGACTATCATTTCTACCAAATACTATACACAAAGGTTTGAGCGGTTGTGCTTCGCGTGGTCGTGGTCCTGGTAAAGCACCAATTACTATAAACAATGATTCTGAATCACTGAGCGCTAATCAAGAACAAAATCTACACTTATGGTCTAGTCGAGTATGGCTGGGTCAACTAGGTCAGTGGCGTGGACTAACTGGTGAAATTGCTCATGCTATCACTTTGGTATATCCAACTATAAGATCATTCTATAATGCATGCAAATTAGCGGAAGCTCAATCAGGCAATCAAGGTAAATTAGATCTGTCCCTGTTTTCCAAACAAATTGAAATACTTATAAGCAGAGTTATGTAGTGGCTAGCAGTGGAGTCTAGGACATGAGTTTCACCCTGGTTGGGACTCATCAGTTGTATGTGCCTGCACCCGTGTTGATAGTCACACCAGTATCTTTTACTTAAAATGCTCAACGCGTCATCTACTTAGTTATTAAATTCAAACAGACACTGGCTTGCTCAATGGAATGAATTAATTAGAATTCTTTTAGTATATTAACCAAATGCCACTGTGTTAAAAGCATGGAATTCTTTATTATGTTGCTCGCATGATCGGATCACTTGATTGTTGGACTCATTAATAAATCAGTTCACCTTATGATGATCAGATCAATGACTGGAAAAGCTTACGGCCTATTTATCCAACGATCTCCTTAGAACCCCACTAACCAATTACAAAATGAGTACAACAAACAAAGAAACCTTCTATTAATATATTGTCCGTTTTAATCAAAACCTTGTAGAATTACATATATTACTTATATGACTACATTATCCTATCCTAATGTTAAATCACATTTGTATTCAACTTATCCAACCATTAAATAATGTTTCTTCACTTTTATCATCAAGATATGAATATTATCATGCAAAAATCCATGTAGATTAAAGAAAACGAGGTATGTTTTAAGCGAGAGAAAGAGAACTATTGTTTCGTTTCCCCCTCTATTTAAATGCTCTTTCCAGTCTCCCACATTATTTGGATATACTATATTATCTATATTAATTGTTACTCTGGTTGTCAGAAGAGTTCATTGGTCTCTCATGACTTCTAGAAAATCTCCGCTTTCACCATGAAGTGTCATAACTCTTTTATATGAAAATTCTTCAACTTCTAGTATAAAGTTTAAATGATTTTTGTCTGTAGTGGTGGTGGTGTAACCTTAGACTAGCTCTAGGCGTAGTTACTATCTGCTAGTACAACTCAATACGTCACGTATACTGAAGCATACTTTTTGTATGAAAGTTAATGACCCCACTTTCAAACAGATGTATATGAAGTGAGAAGGGCTTTCTATCTGTTAAATCAAGCGTTATGAATGTCCATTGTTTAAATCACTAAATCATATCAGTTAGTCCAATCAACTTAGAACTTGGCATAGACGTGTATTGACTCAAGTTGCCATACCTAATTCGCGCGACGAAATGAATAGCAAAATTAATCGATATAATGTAGTAGCAATGTTGCCGACAACAAATGAATACTGGAATTCAAGATCAAGAAAAATGTCAAGAGTGGATGCATCTACACCGTTATGAAAGATTCTAGGTCATATCAACCAAAGTTTCTAACCCCCTGGTCATGGTTATCACAGATCACAAGTAATTTACATTTACCATGTGCTCACTAGTAACTAGCTTCGTGAGGGAATTCTCGGAGTTCTAGTGAGAAGCAGTGACCAGTGGAGCTGATCCATGTAGGTTAGAGACCAGATATCTACCTCAGTACAATGGAAGACGGTCACGCAATTTTGTGGATTGGTTGAAGTTAAACATTAACACCATTGGATGCCGGCCGACTCCCGCAATAGGACGAAATGGCCGTCCAATGCTTCCAGGTTTTTAATAGTGGTCTAACATCAATCAATTCATAATCTCAATTAAAAACTTAATAATCTTCACAACCCTATACTGATAAATTTGTTTATTGAATAAAAGTGATGTGTTTTTTTTTCACTAATTTAAAATTACAACACAATTTGTTATGGATCTTTCATTAACTTTCTATTCTATTCCAATTCAAATTATCTAGGAACACTTTCATCATCTAATCAACTTACAGAACAAAAATATATTCATCCATTTGAAATAGAATTAGCCAATTTAGAAATACGTCGTGGTGTTGGTGTTTTATCAACAAAAAGACGTTTAGGTCCTGAATTTGCTAAACGTTTAATTAAACTATTCACATCAAAGAATCCAGATGAAATTATCAATTAAGTTTAGAGAATGTAATTTGTTTATTTTTTTTTTTTTTAACAGAATTATTTTGTACTATTATTCAAATTCATTAGTAGTATTACCTCATCAAGTATTCACCTCAATGGTTTATGATATTTCATGTGAACTTGTAAATAGATGATAATTGTATGTCAAATTTGTTCATTTCAGCTTTTGGGAATGTGTACAGAGTTTTCTTATTTTCATTACATAAAATTTTGCCATGAATAATTAGATTTTTATTAATTTAGTTAAAATACATAAACATTGGTACAAGGAGCCAATAAATACATATGCTCTACATTTGATTATTCGATCTGTGTAAGTTATGGAATACTGCTCAGATGCCTAAACCGAACCAGGTGGTTTTCTTAGTGAACCACTCCTCAAACATTTGACCTACAGGTTTAATCCACAAGGCAGTGGAACAACGTCAGGAGATGCAGTCCCATGGTAGACGGTGGCCAACAATAGGTTGACACACCATTTGTTCCCTCAGGATCCTGGAGCTTATGTGTACCATATGTTTGGAATAAAGGTTTTTCAACTCCCATTGGTGAATTCTTTATATCCACCAACCCGGTTAAAACACTGGACCTTCGTTTTTGATCCTCTCAATTTCGTAAACAACACCCCCACCGCGAGAGAGATGTGCGTAGGACTTCCCCGGGAGTGGCTATGTAAGCATGGCCATACGAGAGCATTTGGAGAGAGAGAGAGAGCTGACTCTCTCTACCCTCTGCAATACCATGGCATTTGCAGGCAATGATATTTTTATGCAGTATATGTTTTAGTGGTCAATATTTTATAAATTAAGCGAAGAAACTATACTTTTCAATCGTTTTCATCTCCACATTGTGGCTATTAAAAATTTCGTTTGATGCAATATATTTTTAGGCCGATTGACTCGATATTTACAAGTATTTAGGTAAAATTGCGTAATGACTATTATCCGACACCTAGAAATTCAAATCATCTTCGTTGCACAAGTCAGTGATTATTAGAGCATAGTAGGTAGGTGGTTAACATATTAAGCGTTTAGGACAAAAGGTACGGGGTTTCGAATTACAGTTCGGTTATCTATTGTAACATATCCTAGGTAGGACAAAACGGAGTTTTGGATCGACTTTGCTAACTACATTTGATCTTTAAAATTGAGTATATTATGTACAGAGAAATGATCATATCCAGTTGTATAAACCTCGGTCAATTAAACGGTGTTTAAACCAATATATAACATGATTAATTGAACACGGTTACGTCCTTAATTTGTCTACCCACTTTTGGTGCTGAGGCTACGTATTAAGACTTTGATGAGATAGGCTGACCGGCTTAACTTTGAGGCTAGTATGCGTGAGCTCGAAGCGGGGTAGAGAGAAGAAAACTATTCTGTCACCTGATTGGCTGACAAGCACACAAGTGAGAGAAGACAAGACAACTGGAACACTACTCGATCTATTCCTGATTTCAGATTAGTGTAAAAAGGTACATGAATAATTAAGTGAATAACCCGACCGCGCAACGTACAATAATTAGGAAAAGTACAATTATGTCCAAAACTGGGAATTAGAATAGAAAATAGGGTGTAAAATATTATGTTTAAATTACAATAGCTTTAGAACAGAAAAAGGTATGGCAATGAATCATACGTCGAACGAAAGCTTATGTTCCGTAGAATAGATTAGGGACAAAAATAAATTTAAAACAATTAGTTCCTTTGATAAATTTCCATAATATAATAAGAAGACGGAGATTATTAGAACTATGTGATATATTAGTGCAATACATTTCGAAACAGTTTGTTCTTACCTTAAACCAACCCTGGTAATACTGACTTATTATTCAGAGTGATTAGGTTTTGAATTGTGTTCAGATTATTACTATTATCCTTACCTCCTCTTACCCCAATTCCAATCTAGTTGACCTTTTATTTTTATACATAAATGCCCTTAACAAGTATATTATGTATGATCCGATTGTTCGAAATGTATTACGCTAATATATCACATAGTTCTAATAATCTCCGTCTTCTTATTACATTATCGAAACAAAAATAATTGTCTCCATTGGGTCCAATTTTAGCAGATGGTTTCATGGCAAAAATAGTAAAAACGACCAACTCCATTCAATGATCAATCGATTTCACCTATACTTGAGATACATGGACGACACGTTTGTCGTTTGTGACCATAATATTGATTTAAATGATAAATGTTAGTGTTTTACAAGCTTTGAATAAAATGAAATAACGTCCTAAAAAGTAGCTTTCGTAGTTTGTCAGAGTTTATTGTTTCCTTATTCACATCAAATATCACTGAAACTATTTGTTGAATATACATCATTTTCGTGTTAGAGTTCAATACTTTTTATCATATGAATTACACTTACTGAATCATACGTTTACAAACAGTTTTTCATATTACCTTCATTTGAGTTATGTAATATCTTGGGTTTGTAGTTACTTTTCAATGATGTCATTCACATAATTCTGTACACATAGAGGAGGTGTTGCATCATCAAAAAATCCTGAACTGATTCAAGTTACATCATTAAAAGCCTGAAAAGGAGCTTCATCTTATTATGAGACTCCTCAATAGTAATACCTATCCACGATTCTTGTACGTGAACATTTAACCTCTAGATCATTAAGCCGTCATCCAACAGCTTTCAATGATGATTTAACTTTGACCGTTTTGAAATTTCAATGAAACTCAACTAGTTCCATAATCTTATACTTACAAGGTTATCAATGGTTTTTAAGCATCGAATATAAGTTCTATGATATTCTTAAAAATAATTAGAAGTAGTAATCTGAAAATAATTTATAGAAAGGATAGTTACTAATTTCATGAATGGGGGATTCAAAAAAGATCATAAAATTAGTACAGATGATTAAAACCATAATGAAATATGAGATAAAGTATACATTCTTTGAACAGGAAGATGAAACTTCTCCTAAATTTGTTGAATAATCTTCAAATACCGTTATTATATCAGCACATGATTAAATGCTTAGATAGTATACTGTTAACTAGCTTGCATTCACTTTCAGATAGTTATTATTATTTATTTATTTATTTTAACACATAAGTATAGGTACAGGGAGGCACCAAATACATATGCGCCACACAAATCTCAATTGATTTGTGTGAGGGCTGTGATACTGCTCGGGTGCCCAAACCGAAGCAGGTGGTTTTCTTAGGGGAGCACACCCCGAGCCTTTGACCTGAACGTCTGATCGACAAGGCAGTGGAGCATCGTGAGGAGATGCAGTCCCATGGTAGCCGGTGACCAACGATTGGTTCATACGCCATTTGATCCTTCAGGATACTGGAGCCAGCCCATGTGCACCATTGGTTTGGGGTCCGGTTAAAGCATCAAACATTCGCTTTTCGTCCTCTCATTTTTATAAACAACACCGCCGCCACGAGAAGGCAGTGAGTAGGACTTCCCTGACAGAGGCTATATACGCATGGCCATGTGAGAGCATTTCGATAGTTATTACAATGTAATGATTGTATATTTGTTTAGAAAGTGATCGATAAGAATGTTTGAATGGGAAGTTTATCCTTAATACACCATCTCCTAGTAAGACAATAATTATTGGAGAAGACAATTCCATACACTACTGAATTAATTGTCTGTGTACATTGTTCGTCAATGATTAACCACACTTAAGTGTACCATTAAAAACTAGATAACTTTTGTTTTAATATTATTGTACACAATGAATAAAAGGAATAGTTAAGGTGATTATTATTAATTCTGTTAGGCTATTTATTTAAAATGATCCAGTTATCAAACTTCTAAGTGTCATTCTAATCAAAATTGATCCTACTTTCAAACTGAATATTGGAAATTTATGAAAGATAGTTCTATTAGTTTAAAAGATTTGACATGAACAATAACAATTCACAATTCTTTTTGTCTTTCTCTCAATCTTGTTATTATTCAACTGATTGAAAGATTAGTAAATTTAATAATGTCCAAAATGTCACCGAGTTTTCATTATTATTGCCAATACACCTTGTTAAGTGAACATCAATAGAGAAGGAATTTAGTTTATTCAATTCCTTACATTGAATGTCATCAGTTATCACAAATATTGAATGTCTTTAGTCTTTGTGGTGTCCAAAGAAAAAAGTACAGTACATTATATACTTAACATAGAACTAATGTGTACCGGTTAGATATCCAAAGTGCAAACAGCCGTCCTTAAATTTTTTCAATAAATTTAAACTACTTGTAAGTAGACAAATAAAGATAAGAAAAACAAATATTTGGCCAACCTTGAGTTACCGTTAAAGGATGCACACCAACATGATAATTATCTGTTAATGAAGTGGTTTTATGAAGGCTGTTCATAATTTCAAGATATTTTTTATTATGAAGTGATACCAGTTTGAGCAGTGAACAATTGTCTTATTTGATAGTTGAATTCATTAGTCAATTAAAGCTAAACCACCATGGGAAACCTGGGAGCACTGGACGGCCGTTTCGTCCTAACATGGGACTCCTCAGTAGTGAGCATCCACGATCTCACCCCGTGAGATTCGAACCTGGGACCTATCGGTATTGCGCGAACGCTTAACCTCTAGAGCACTAAGTTGGCCGGCATCCAATGATGTTAATGTCTAACTTCAACTAATCCACCATACTGAGCCAGCGTCCAGCATTTTCTTCAGTGAGTTACTATCTCACAACAGACCCGGTTGAACTCCACTAGTCATTGCTTCTTACTAGAACTCCAGGAAAGACTTCTCGAAGTCAGTCACTAGTAAGCATATTATGATATTATAGTAATTTAATAGTTGAATTCAAGAGTCCCATAGTAAAACGAGACGGCCGTCCAGTGATTGTAGTTTTTCCGTTGTAATCCAGCTTTAATTAACTCACGAATTCAACTATTAATTTACTATAATATCCCCATAACCCCTTTCTGATTATAATTGTTTTATTGTCATTTTCAACTTATCAGATAACTTCACATCTCAGTGGATCATTCCCAACGACTAGTTATCTAATTCGATGTCCATA